CTGCTCAGTTTGGGGAATTGGCTGTACTGGCTTTGCAGGAGCTGCCTGAGGCTGTGTGTGCAGTCACAGAGGAGCGGGTCTGCTGGGGTCCACTGCCCCATCAGAGACATGCAGCAGTGAAGGCTGTTTGTTGATGGCTTCATTTCTCAAGCTGCAAGACGTAAGAGCTAAAGGAAGGATGATGTCTGCCTAAGACTGCTTCTATGTGACATTACTTTCTTTATATTTAAATACATCTGCTGAATGCTAAAAGCTTAATATCTGCTTGGGCCAAGAGTCCAAGGAATTTCTTTCTTCCCTTTAATTTCCAATTAGCTGAGTCTCTCAAGTCTCCCTGCTCTGCCCCTGAGGCTGTGTTATCATCCAGCCCTCCACACAGAGAAGCTTCTGAAATTGATGTAACTAATAATCATGGAAAAAGTCCTACTGCATTTACAGTCTACAGCTGCGAAAGTGGAGCCTTGATTTAAAATCCTGCAGCGACAAATGGATTATTTCAGTGGCAAATTAGTCTCTGTGGACCAACAATTTGGGGATCTGAACACTGGAACTGGAAACCAGAAGATCAATTCCGAACACTTAAGAGCCAAGGTTAATGCCCTGCAAACCTGTATGGAGTGCAGCAATGAAAGATAACATGCCTCTGCATTTTAAATGGGAAGCTGAGGAATGCAGTATTAAAAGTGAAAATGGGCAAGTTCAGAACAGAATGAGAGCAAGCAATAGCCATGTACTTGCTAATAAATGTGGTGTCTGGGGACTGAGTTTCCAGCGAGGGCTGAGGATGACAGTGGGCTTTTACTAAAGGAACTGGAACTAATACTGCTGAGAAGGAAGCTGCTGGACTCAGGATGCTAGCTGTCATGAGGAAGCTGGCAGTTCTCAGTACATGCCAAGTCAAGCCTTTCCAAGTGCCATGGACAGCTTCCAGAGCTCCTGGTTTAACATAAAGCATAGCCCATGAGATAAGGATCTAACAAAGGTTGGAGAATACTCGTTTTCCAATTAGGACATCTCTGCTGTAACCATGTGAAATACTTTCAGAGCTGGAGAAGGACCTTTCGAAGGTGAGAACAGTTGGAATTGGGGTGCTGGGGGAAGGCAGTTTGTTGTCTGCAGAGTTGCCAGCAGCCTCTTCAGCACAGCTAGACCAGAAATCGCTCCCCAGGGATCTCACTGTTGTCTTCAGCACTGGGGAACTTTACAGATTCCTTGCTCTTTTACTCTCTTAAGAGTTAACTCTGCTTGTTCAGTGTCTGAAAAATGGTCTTGCGGTTGGAGAGGCTTGTTTTTCCATTTCTCTTAACAGTTACAATACTTGGAAATAGACTTTTTCTTTTGTTTTCCAGTAGTATTTGATGTGAGTTTTTCATTTGTTATCAGAAGGTGACACAGCAGTGCCTTTTGAATTAAACTGAGTTCTGAAGAACAGTTGTAAGGGAAGAGCTGAAATCCTGTTTTAGGTTCTTTTTTTCCTTTGGAAAATGACTATTTTGAACACCGAGAAGAGTCTCCATTTGCTTGTTTTCTTTATATCCCCTTCCACCATTTGAAGTTTCGTTGTTGCTCAAAGTCTAGCTCGGATTATATAAATCCTAAATAGAGGTGGATCCTTCGCCAAAAGCCTGTGGTCTTAGGAGTGAAAGAAAACCCTCCGCCATCCAGCTTCTCCAGAGAGCCAGTCTGGCAGCTCTCTGTGCCTTTGCCCCTCCCAGAGTCACTTAATACCCTTCTGGGCACTATATATGTTGGTAGCACAATTCCCATCTGAAAGGGATAGGGGCTGAAAAGCCCATTGGCCAATTCACCAGCAGTGAGGAATGCGTGCCAAATCCATTAGTCCTGGATTGGACTCAAAATCCCTTCCTGCCCTGAGGAGAGAGAGGAGTTCTGTGTCTTCTCCAAGGGCCTGATCCAACCTGGTGCAGCACAGGAGGTGCTGGGTTTGGGTCTGTATAAGCAGGATGCTATGGAAGGGCAGGACGCGTTCACAACGGTGTCCTCCTGTTAGGGAGGACAAATCTAGCTCGTTGTTCAGGATGGAAGCTTCAGTCCTGAGCCCAGGGAGCTGGCTGCGGAACTGCATTCTTCTGCTGTTGAAATAAGATATTTTAAATTTGGTTTTTTTTTTTTTAAAAAAAAAGGTTTTAAAGTGCAGTCGTTTCTAAAGCTGAAATTGAAGTGAAATGTTCCAGCGGATTTGAAAGGAAATTTTAGTTCTCCTTTCCCCTTGTGGGTTATGTCGAAATTTGGGGCATTTTGTTCCACTTCACACTGAAGTTTTAAAATCCGTAACGGAACAGAAACTTCCATACTCAGCACAGCTCTTCTAATTGCCTCGTTCAGCTGATTACAGCGAGCTCTCAAGGTTTTAGACCCCCAGTTTCCATGTTCACTGGCTAATGGCATCTCTTGCATCAGGATGCCAGAGCACTTTAAAGTGATCTCTGTGTCCAAAAGAGAGCAAAGCCAGTGTACCCCTCCTATGGGTCCCCTCTTGGGGGTCCAGATCTGAGGTAGTGGTTGCTCCACCAAGCACAGAGCAGCCCTAAACCTCTCTGAGCCATGAGCGGATGTCGAGGCACCTCCCTGGTGATATTCCAGAGCCGAAGTCCTTTGACATCAGCATTTGGAAATTGGTCCTAGGAAAGTTCTTTTCAGATGGAAATTGCAGTAGGAGTCAGCACTGTTGTTTGAAAGGTTGAACAATTACAGGGAAAAGTGATTTACTTTGGAAGCTAAAAACCAGTCTGTACTGGTAGATGCAATTCACATCCTTTGAAATGGAGGATTAATGAGGTGAAGTTCTGAGTTCAGAGACCTGGGGAATGCTGGTTTATAAACCTGAGCTGGCACGTGGCATAGGTTCAGTCTGATTTGGTGTAATATTTATGCTCTTCCTGGCAGAACTGATGGTGTGTGAGAGGCCTGATCCTGCATCAGAGGAGGAGAGATTGCTCCAGCCGCTTCTTCACCCAGCTGCTGGATCTGAAGGGACCACTGGGAGCCTTCAGCAGCTTGTCCTGGTGAGAGCTGCAGGTTTGCCTGGAGTGGGCTGACAGGGGGAACCTGGGGACCTCATCTAGCCCCAAGAAAAATGGGGTGGTGTCTTCTGTTTGTAACGGGGGGGATTGCATAGGAGGATCACAGTGTGATGAAGGAGCTTATGGCTCCATCAGTGAGAGGCAAAAGGCAGAGGTGCCTGGTGCTTGCACTGCAGGCAGGCTGCAGGAGGGCCCTTTCCCACCTCCTGCTTATTTCCACGGGTAGACAGATAAATTCCATCACTTCCATCCGCCAGGAAGAAGAGGAGTTGCTGGAATAGCTCATTGTCTTGTATCACGGTTGGTAAGGTCACAGGAGAAACCTTTCCAGCTCATCTGAGGGAGTGACAGTGTTGAAAAGCCCCTGTTCCAGTGGAAGGCTACGTGCTTTGTCCCTGGTTGCCTCACTGGAACAGCTGCTAGAGAGGATTTTCCTGGTGCCAAAGCGATAATCTGACTTCAGGGAAAATCTTACCCTGTAAGGGAATGGTTGTGAAAGGAGGTGGGCAGGCTCTGGTAACAGCTTCACAAGAAGGGGAGCAACCTTTGCACTGGCCTTCAGTTTGTCTCTGTTGGCACCTCTGGCAGACATCCATTAAAGAGGTGAATCGGGAATAGATGAACTGGGCAGAAAACAGAGCAGTGGAGGATTCAGTGTACAGTGAATGATTCCCAAGGGTTTTGCCAAGTGCTGGGAATGACACAGTGACACAGGATGTTTTGGATGCTGAGATGGGGCAGAATTGGGTGTCTTGTGAACCAGGCTGCGTATATGAACCTGTAACAGTGAAGCTGGTGAGGGGACCAGTTTCCCCTCCTGTCAGCAACTCCTCCTGTGCAATAACCACAGTGATGACCCCCAGGACTATTGGGAGTGACTGGTCCAGCACACATAAGCAAAAGCAGCTCAGCATTCATCATGATGCTGCTGCAACCCTGAGCACCCATCCCATGGGGTCCACATCAAATCACAGCAAAGTACCTGGACAGGTGCTGGCACATGCCTTGGATACAGACCCAAAGGGCTATCTGGAGCACATGGAGCTGAAGCTGTTCCCAATACAGCTATCAGCAGCAAGCACTGAGCTTGGGCAGGGGTGTTTGCATGCTAAAATTGCCTTTGCTTTCTGCAGCAGGCTGTGCCCTGATGCATTTGGACCAGGTCCCAGTCGTGTTTGTTAATGTAAGAGCAGATCTGTACTCATGCAGGATTACGTCTCCTGCCCACAGTGGATTCTGCATAGACAAACGGCTATTCACCCATCAGGAGATGGGAGATAGGAGCTGTGTGAGAGTGCCCTGACCTGCCCTATGGATGGGCGATGCCAAGAGCTGCTGAGCTGTTAGTCTAGGACTGAGTGCGCTCAGACTGGCTCTATTATCATCCCCTGTGAGTGTAATCCAAACCAACGGGTTTAACAAACACAGAATGCAATTCCAGGAGTTCACAGGGGTGATGAGGGACAGAAAACCACGAAACAGTGTAGTCCTAATAAGCTATCTGTGCAAGCCACTGGGCAGGGGTGAAGGGCGATGGAGGCAGGCGTAGGACTCCTTTCCAAAGCAGGCTGGGGTAAGGCAGGGTCCCAGAGCTCCGTTCACAGGTGACAAACAGCTCCACACACTGCAGGTACAGCACTCTTCAGAGGGGAAACTGAGGCTCCATACACTGGGGTACCAGGGCTCCCTGCAGCTGGGACAACCAGCCTCTACACTGGGACACAGAGCACTGTGCTCTGCTGGCCGTGTGCATCCTGGTACCAGGGCTCCGTGCGCTGGGGTATGGGCGTGATGGGGATGCCTGTGCTCCCGCACCAGGGTAGCAGAGCTCCGTGCTCCAGGGTAACGAGACACCATGCACTGTGCAGCGGGGTACCACGCTCTGTGTCCCCGGGTACCACAGCTCCGTGCACGGCGGACCACGGGGCTCCGGGTGGCGGGGCCGCACCGGGGCGGGATGAGATCGGCGGAGCCCCGCCCGCCGGGCCCTGCGCCGTGCGGTGCTGCGCAGAGCGGGGCCGCCATGAGCGAGGAGCGGCTGCGACGGGTGCGGGACCGCGTGCGGCCCTTCCCCGACTTCCCGGTGCCCGGCGTGCTCTTCCGGTGCGGGCGGGACGGGGACCGGGATGGGGATGGGGATGGGGATGGGGATGGACCCAAGCCAGAGGCGCGCTGCCCATCCCTCCCCTTGCCCGCTCCAGGCAGCACAAGGATGCAGGACGTGCATCCCCCCTGCATCGGAGCTCAGCCGATGGCCACCTGGATGCAGCTAACGGCTCTCCCTCTCTTTGCAGCGATATCAGCCCCCTGCTGAAGGATCCCGCCGCATTCAGGGCTCTGATTGATCTTCTGGAAGATCATTTGAGGGTATCTCACCCCAAAATCGACTTAATTGCGGGTGAGTGTTAAAGAAACATCTCTGAGGCCGGCACAGAGCACTGTAGCCTCAGGCTGCCCAGGCGGGAAGTGAGCAGAGATCCCTCCGCTACCAGGGCAGCGAATGCTTGAGCCCTTGGGCACTGTAATCACCAGGTTATACCCTTAACTGAATCCCGTAGTTTCCTGAGGTACCGGGTTTAGATATGGCAGGCGCCATCTGATGACACTCCAGTGCCCATTTCGTAACTCATTGCTTTCATCATTAAAAGGGAGGAGGAAGTGCAGGAAGCCAGCCATGGCTGTGAGGTCTCATGCAGTCCTCTCAGCAGGCAGACCCTGTTCCAGCATGTTTTCCCTCTCAGGGGGGCCTTTTGAAGGCAACAACAGCAGCCTCTGTGGCGATAACGCGTTGCAGCATACCTATGAAAGTGGCCGAGAATGAAAATGCTTGGGAAGGCAGTGCTTGGGTTGGGCGATAGCCCAAAGTTCAAGGAGTCTAGACCAAACCTTGTCCAAGTGCCTCATGATAAGTAAAACCTGTCCCCCTGCAGCACAAAGTCCCTGGTTGTGTGGCTGAACTGATACCAGGGCTTCACTGAGCTTATCTCCAAGAAGAAGAGCTGGAAGGGAGGCAAAACAGGCTGCTGGGGGGGGGGGGGGGGGGGGGGGGGGAGTTTTGGTGCCTTGAAGCCCATCAGCAGCCCATCTTGGTGAGCACTGGCAGTGCAGGAGCACGCTGTTGTGTTTTGAACCACAGAAATAAGTGACTAAGAGCAAATGGCTTGTTGAGACCCTCCCTGAACATGGGAGGATAAACCTGGGTTATCATGCAAAGACACCCCCAGTTCAGTGGCTCTGGTCTGAGTATTTGTGCTGCTCTGTTCCCCATAGGTCTGGACTCCCGTGGCTTCCTTATAGGCCCTCCTCTGGCTCAGAGACTGGGGATCGGCTTCGTGCTGATAAGGAAAAAGGGGAAACTTCCTGGTCCAACTGAGTCCATCTCCTACGCTCTTGAGTATGGCAAGGTAATGCCTGGGGAGGAGAAGAGGGTTTCCAGGCTGGTTTCATGGAGGGCTGGGGGTGTCAGTGAAGGGATGGGGTGATAAACCCAGCAGGGGATGCCCAGGCTGGGTTTCACAGCTAGTGCTGGTGCTTACAGGCATGGCACAAGCCTCAGGAGCAGCACTGAACTTCCCTGAGCTCCAGCATGGCAACTCCATCCCTGAGCCATGGACACAAGGGTTGTGTCCATGAGGCCTGCTGTGATTTTTGGGGGTGGTTTGTGCTACGACTTGGTGCTAAATTACTTTCTTTGACTTGAATTCAGGGGCATGAACATGGAGTGTGTTTCCCACTCTTCCAGTAAGTGCTGTAAAATAAATGCCTTTATTGCATGGCTTCAGAACCGAGCGCTCGCCTCGTAACACCACAGCCTCCCTGATTCAGGAGCAGAGGTTTAATCCTCATAACACGCTACCGCTGGTAACTAACAGCAGCCAGGGACCAGCAGCAGAAACACTGAACCCAGGCGTTATTTATGAGGATTGCTTGGGCCAACCCCTGCATGGGACAACTTCATCTGACACAGGACGTGCCTGTGACGGTTTGGGTCTGGTTTGGTGGTGCTGTCAAAGCAGAGTGCTCCAGCCCAGTGCATTACAGGAGATTTTCCCCGCTGGAGAACTGCTCTGGGATAAGGTTTCCTGATGGGACCATAACTCACTTGATGAATGTTCGGGCTCTTGACGTGCCAGAGGGTTGGCCCAGCAATCACTTAACCTGCTCTATATTTCCATGGCACTCCCCTGTAGCTGGAGTATGTGTTTTGGGGGGGTTTAGGTGCTGAGTGCTAAGGCTGATGCTGCTGAAGACGTGCCTGCGTTCCACCATGTGTTAGCAGTTGGTGAAGGGTTTCTCTGTCAGGGAAGACTAAAATGAAGCTGCTCTTTCCACCCTGCAGGCTGAACTCGAAATCCAGAGCGACGCAGTGGAAGCAGGACAGAAAGTAGTTATTGTAGATGACCTGCTTGCGACTGGAGGTGAGTTGGAGCATGTGTGACCCACGTGCACCTGCATTGCAAGCAGCTGTGGGGCTTGAAGCCTACCTTGGCATTGCTCTACCACTGATGACGTTTCTGCTCTTACCTCTATGTTGTGCAGGCACCATGTATGCAGCCTGTGAGCTGGTGAAGAGGCTGAAGGCTGAGGTGCTGGAGTGCCTGGTGATCATAGAGCTAAAACTCCTCAAAGGGTCAGAAAAGCTCAAGTCCATCCCTTTGTACTCCCTCCTGCAGTATGACTGAGGAGGAGCATCCCTGCTACTTAGGGAATGCACGCTCGGAGCTGTGCACAAGTTTAGGGTCTTATTCAGTGACTCTTGATGTCGTAAAGGGATGTGGGGGGGGGGAAACCTACAATTTTCATCCTGGCCAGCTGCTATATAATCACAAGTCCTATTAATTTTCCAAGCCACAGATTAAGGTGTGTTGAGTATAAGGATCCTTTCTGGAGTTCATCCTCTTGGAAGAAGGATCTAGGGGATCTGTTCTAGGGGATGGAGACTAAGATGGAAGCTGTCTCTCTTCCATTAGTCCTTAGTGGATTTGCAAAACTAGGAGCAATTTGCATCATGAGAAGTATCCCAGAGCTGGGTGACAGGCAGTGAGGATGTGGGTCATGCATGAGCTCAGGGCTCTTCACCTCCCTTCTGTCCATCACGTACCAAAGCCTGCAGCTCCAGCCAGGGCTGGCACCTTTTGGTTAGCAAAAATTCCCTGTATACTGCAACTTATGCAAGTCCCTGTTCTGCTGCATTCTTCTTGGGGCACCAGGGTGTTGACAGGACAATGCCATCTGGAGTCTGTTCTTGTTGGGATGTTTTGGTGTCAGGGTGTTTTGGGCACAGGGAAGAAAGAAAACATGTTAGTTTACTCATGAGCTCCAGCTCTCATTCAGGTTGTGTAATGGGTGACATGGGGTTTGAAGATGCTCCTTCTTGCATGGTGCAGTTTGATCACTAAAACTCAGTATGCCAACACTTTCACATGACTGGAAGCACGAGGGACTGTGTCCCTGTCCTAGCAGGGACTGAACTCACTCATAAAATAAATAGTCACTTTTTATTCTTTTCTAAACTGTCTCAGAGCTGTTCTTGCAGTAGCTGAAGCCATTGGTTACCCTTGTGAGTGTCTTGTCCAAACCCAGGCTGCTAGTGGAAAGCAAGGCTGTGATATGAGCTCCCTTTTGCCACCCCACATCCTTGGAAGGCCTCACTAGCCAGGACTCAGCACTGCAGTTGTCTTCACTCTGCTCTAGCTGGAGGAGGGCACTCAGGCTGGTCCTACTGGGCTGCAATGGAAGGGCCCAGTGCTGGTGGGAGCACAGCCCAAGCCCCTGCATCTCATCTTGCCTTCCCCCTGCAGCGCACAGGGATGCTGCACACCCTGCCCTTACACTTGCAAGGGCTATTACAGCTATTTTTATCACCATTTCCTGAAAAGCCACTTCAGGGCTGTTCAGTTTATGCTGAGAAACACCATTCCCTTGGGAGCAAACCTACCCCAGGGCACTGGTTTTCACAGCCAGCCCCTGCGAGGAGCCAAGGGAGGCAGCACCTCACACACACATACTTGGCACGAGGACAGGGTCCCTGCTGTGAGCTGGAGAAGGGAAAAATCCACCCCAAAGAGCCGTGGAAAGCAGCTGCGTGCAGTGGGAGAGAGCCCTGTGCAAGCCCTACCAGTGCCAGAGCAGCGAGTGGGGCCAAGAGGTGACATCAGGGAACGCGGGGACGGTGCTTCGCGTTGGGCAGGCTGCGAGCACCACTTGATGTGCTCATAGAGACAGGGCTGTGCAGGGTGGCTTCCAGGCAGGAGGGAGGGTTCAGTCCCAAGCAGCAGAACAGGAGCTCTCTGTGAGCTCACCTGGGGCAGGCGTGTGGCTGCCAGGCTGCTGGACCCAGCTCCCTGCTGCAGTGCGGTCCATTCAGCACAGCCAACAGCCCAGCATCGCATCGCTCCAGCCTATGGGATGGGTTGAAACCCTCCTCCATGGAAACAGGGGTTATCTCCCACCAGCATCACTAGCCAAAGGGACAAGCAGCAGGGTCCTGGAGGAGGAAGAGCAGGGTCTGCCCGCTCCCTCAGGCAGCTCTATAGGGGATGCCCGATGCTGCCAGCCTCCAAACCATGTGGGGAAGCTTCCCAGTTCATGTGGTCCCCACCAAGAGGGCCAAGGGACAATCGGTCACCGTCCCATGCAAGCCCCACACTCAATGAAGTGCGGTCTGGCTCTGGATGTGGTCTGAGGTGCTCCCGACGTGGCAGCTCCCATCCCTACACGCTGCAAGCACTGACCTGACCTGGGCGCTGGGCCAGGCTAGCACCACTGCAGCCATCAGCACCCTCTTTGTCCCTTTTCCCAACCCACTCCAGCCAAGTGGCCTGGGCTTTCCCTTGGGAACCCCCGCCACTGCACCCACCCCTGCCCCATAGGGAGCTGCTTGTGCTGCCCGTGTACAAAAGCTGCATTCAGCTCCCTGCAAGCCCACGCTCACTTTTTCCAGTCACTGTTTCTCCAGGAGCTGGATGCTGACCCAAGCCCTTCCTGGCCGGTGCCAATTGCCTCGGAGAGCCACGGTGCTAACGCAGACAAGGCAACTCACGGGGCTCCGCGCTGGGTTAACGCAAGTCAGCTATATTTAAAACATTTAATACAAATGTGTTTTGACAAGTCCTGTAGTTGTTTCCAGCGAGTGCTGGGGGATGCGTTTTTCCCTCCCTTAAAAAACAGAACAAGGCCCAGAGCTCCAAAAACATCCACTTGTGACTTCTTCTCTCACTCCTTTCCTGACTCGTCACCCCTCTCAACCCTGCCTCCCCCCCCAACAGAGCCCAGTTAATGGAAGAAACCTCCTGCATCAAACCTTAGGGAGAATACAACAGAGCTGAGGAGAGGTTACTGCAGCTCCTCTCCACCACCTGCACTGTCACCAAGGCTGCAGGACTGCCTGCCTTCGGCTTGAGGGTTAGGAGAGCTACGGTCCTCATGGACCCTGCCAGAGGAATTAAGTTAAGGCGCTTTGTTCTCAGACATCCCTGAGGATGAGCCCACATCGGATCCCACTGGGATCTGCTACATTGACAGGAGATTGCACGGGGGAAGCCTCCACCCTGGCGGGGCTCAGAGGGTTTCTGCCTCCTTCACCACCTTGGTGAGCCTCTCGGCGATGATCCCGAGGTCCTGCCCTTTGTCCAGTTTGACGTAGGTGTCCGTCCTGATGGTGTGGATGCCCACCCAGTTGGGCAACAGCTCTGCCAACAGCCTCAAGTGTTTCTCCATCTCCCCTGCAAAGAGAAGCAGCAGCCGCTGCGGTCAGCGCTCCGCTCCACAGCCCCTTCCAAATGCAAACACCCTCCCCTGCTCCCATGAACCATCACCCCAAGAACGCTTCCCCTACCCGGAGGCATCTGCTCGTCGTAGCTGTCGGCCATGCGGGCACAAACCACCTCCATGGTCAGCGCCTGCTTCTTCTCGGCCACGAAGATGTTGCGCAGGATGCGGGCCATGGCCGGCAGGCGCCGCAGCATCCCGATCCGCCGCTCCTGCTGCGCATCCCGCGTCATCAGCGCCTGCAGCTTCTGCGCCTCCTTTGCACGGATCTTGGGGATGGGAGGACATGGGGTGAGACACGGGCAGGTCCCTCCTCCCCCCAGCCCTGGTGTTAGGGCCAGGACTGAATTACTCACCCTCTCGAGCAGGTCCCGGGACACCCCTTTGAGAGCACTGGAGGTGCTGGCAGGGGCCGGTGCTTTGGAAACCACTGGTTCCCCTGCTCCGGCTTCAGCGGTTCTTAAGGCCAGGTTGGCAAGAGCTTTTTCCATCTGCTCATGTGGAAGAGAAGAGGGAGGAGGGGTTGGGTTACAGCTGGGAACCGATCGCGATGCAGGAAGGAGAAGTTTCCCCTCCAACGCCCCCGCTGACACTGCAGCCCAGTGCTCCCGACCCATCCCTGCCTGTGCGGGGTACGGATCAGGATGCTTCATCTCCTCTCCCAGCCACACACTCAGTACCGACAGCTCCTCCAGCCCAAAGCCAGTCCTACACCCCATCCTGCAGCACTAACAACCAGGTTTGTGCTCCCACCTGCCCACATCTGACAGTGCTCTCAGTCTTGCTGCTCAGAAATGGTCCTCCCCCCCCACCATCCATTAACATCTTCCCAAAGGGATGACTGGTTTGAGGTCCACAGACACAGCCAGACCCTGGTCCTTACTCACCTTGAGGCTCAGAACCCCCTGAGCCCTGCTCAGCACCTCCTGGGCCGTGGTGACCCTGTCCTCCTGTGGCGGCTGCGGCAGCTCTGCAGGGATGATGTCCGGCACCTCGTCCACGTTGAAGCGGGGATGCCAGCGCGTCAGCTTCTCCTCCGGCACCACCATGGGCGGGCTGAGGGCAGCCAGGAATGCCTGGAGAGGGGTGAGAGCTGTGTCACGGCACATGTAGGTCAGGTACAGGGGAGCTGGACATTGCCTCCTGCTCCCAGCAAGGTTGGCAACACCACAGCTTGGAGGACGCTCAGTGCCAGGACAGATCCCCATCCACGCCTTCCTGACAACAGCATCCCATAGGGACCAGTGATGTCCTTCAGCCTGCTCCTTCCACCCTAGCTACCAAGGCAACCCCAGGCCCCAAAAGCGGAGGGTGCTGGGGCCTCACCTTGTGGTGCTGCTTGACAATGTTCACCAGGTTGCGGTTGAATTCCTTCCTGCGCTCCAGCAGCCGTGACGCCGACAAGTGCAGGCGCCCGTCCACCTTCTCCTCTGTATGGAGAGACATAAGCATCACCCCCAGCACCTCGGTGACACCGCGCCAGGGCCCAAACCTCAGGAAGGACATGATCAGAGCCCTCTGTGGAGCTCAATTGCTGCCAAAATCCCTGCTCTATCACCCTCCCACTTGTCCCCAAAGTGTTTTCTTCAGCACCTTACGCGTCAGATATAGCAGAGCAGAGAGAATCCCTGGAGATCCACAGATCCCAGCCTGGACCAAGCACATCCCCAACTCTCAGGGTTCCCCCTTAGCCATACAAACCTTCCTCCAGCACTGGTTCCAGTGTGAGCTGATAGTCAGACTTCTTCTTGCCAAAAGAGGGGATGTTCTTCTCCTGGCGCAGCTTGTAGGAGGTGGGATACACCGTCTTGATCTGCCCCATGTGCCGCTCCTCAAACTGCCTGCAACAGCACCCACAGAGGTCAGGAACCCCAAAGGCTGAAACAGGGCATTGGTCCCAACAGCTTCAACTGGGACCCGACACGGGGCTGCCCACTGCTGCCAACTTACTTGTGCATCATGTCCTGCACGCCCTGCTTGACCTTGGCGAAGGTGATGGTCTCGGAGCGGTTGAAGAGCATCCCGGCGATGGTGTCCACGGTGCGGAACATCTCCGCCAGCATCCGGTACTTGTAGGGCAGCGTGAGCCCTGGGGGCACGTCCTGTGCGAGCGTGTGGAACCGCTGGTATGCGGGGGCCTTCTGCCTGCTGGGAAAGGAGAGGGCTCAGGGTCCCATGCACACAACAGCCACCGGGTATGGTGAACATGGCCCCGAGGGTGCAGATGGGGACAGAGACCGGCCAGGATGGGGTCCCGCTGCTGACAGGGCTGAACTCACAGCCTGAGAGCTGCAGGCCCAGCCTAGATAGGGGAGATCCATCCCATATCCCTTCTCTGAGCATCCTGGGGATGTCGATGCCCCAGTGCTCACGGCACAGCCAGGGTGGCTCAGGCCACGCTCAGAGAAGCCCTCTGCATACAGCAGGGCCAGTTCAACGCTGCCACAGCCCCAAACACCCCTCAACGGGGTGGGAAGACCCCCACAAACCCACCGTGGGGCTGCGGCAGCCACTGACACCCCGAGAACCCCCTCCAATCTGTGTCTGCATCCCCACCGCGGCTCCTCACCCAGCCTCGGCCGCAGGAGCCGCCTCCTTGGTGTCCCTGTGCGGCTGCGCTCCGGATGCGCCTCCGCTGCCCGCTCTCCTCTGCCGGACCCGCAGCTCCAGCTGCCGGACCCGCTCCAGCCGGCTCCGAAGGTCGGCGCTGGTCCCCGCAGGGATGGTCCCCGGCGGCAGCAAA